CTGCTGTCTGTGTAAGGATGTCTGCTGCGTGTGTAAGGATGTCTGCTGTCTGTGAACGGATGGCTGATATCTGTGTGTAAGGATGTCTGCTGCGTGTGTAAGGATGTCTGCTGTCTGTGAACGGATGGCTGATATCTGTGTGTAAGGATGTCTGCTGCGTGTGTAAGGATGTCTGCTGTCTGTGTAAGGATGTCTGCTGTCTGTGTAAGGATGTCTCCTGTCTGTGTGTGATATGACCGCACAGCCAATGACAGATGGCCCCAGGGAAGAAGGCGACTTGCCGGATTTCTCATCCACTTCATTATGACTGATTGTAAACCCCCCCCCCCCCCCCCCCCGGCCATCTGGGGGCTGTCCAGAAGCCATGACGTTATGTAATAATCACTTCATCACTGAACAGCCTCCGGCCTTCCGCTCACGTTCCAGCTAATGGTCCAGACGCCAATGCCACTTGGGAAAGCTCATTCCCGTTTCAGCGTAGCAAATCCAAAAACATAACAAGGGTGTCTGCCCACTTCACGTACCCACGGAAGTGACAGGCACCGTTCCCCTCTGTGGATCAGCCAGCAGAGAGTGTCTAGAGTGAGAACCTGCTGGCAAAATCGAGGATTCTTACATACTGAGGTGACTTCAGCACCCGCCGTGGAAGGAAGGCTCTGCACAGCGGGGTTAGCCTTCGGAGGAGCCTTTCTGCCACCTGCCACTTTCACACCTTAATTACTTGACATTTATTAGAAGTCTGTATGCAGCTACACCTGTGGGAATTAGGAGAATCAGGTCGCACTGCAAGATGCAGAAATTTTACCTTGATATTCCCAAGTTGCAAGTACAGTAAAATCCTGTTTTGTTCGGCTATAACGGACATGCAGCTCCGCCTACAAGGCGTGTGGCGTGCCGGTGATATCCAGCGCAGATACGTAGTTGGGATTATTAATAGTCACGCATCTGGTCAGGTAAAGTTGGATTACTACATGTACAATATAATAATCTATACCACAAGTGTGTCTGCTGGGGTGTGGCATGAGTAAATGGGGTCCTGTAGTTGTGTTCTGGGCATACAGCAACTCTGGATATATCGGACTTTGGATATAACGGATTCTTTTGCCAGGTCCCTTGAAGTCCGTTATAACGGGATTTTACTGTATTTTATCTTGCATGTGTTGTGCACATCAGCACCCTCTAGTGACTATAGGCTGTACCTAGCAAACTACCTTCCAACAGAATTAGTAAATACACACTCAGTAAACCTGGCACTATACTCGATGTTTCAACACATTTATAAAAATACAGCTTCCACCAATCAGTATAGAATGTTTTTAAATTGTGCATTTCAGATATCGTTCATCAAACTGTCCTTCCAAAGGATCTTCTTCTGTAATCCAAAGAGCTGTCGTGCAAGGTGTCATTTTGAGAAATTCTGGTGTGTGACTCACGATCGCAAGCTGTACTGTTTATGATAAGTGTTCCCCCACCATATATCGCTCATCGTGACTCTGAGGGCTGCGATTTGCACAGGCTTTCCAGACCCCTAAACAATTACTTAAATGACAAAATTAATTCAATCAAGTGTTTAAGTGCTTGGCTCAAGAACACATCCCTAGACCCGCAGAGGTTAATATCACATGGCCAAATCTTTATTTGCCACCCTCAATTACAACTACAAAAGCCAGTAAAATGTGTAGGCTATTGCCAATCTTTCACACAAATTATCTGAGACTATAAAGACAACATATGTAATTGTGAATGTATATTACCTCACCAGACACTGATTATTTATATTACTCACACTTATTCTGCAACTTATTGCTTTCCTCGGCCATACTGTAATATATGTTTTGTAATTAAATATCTTCAGGGTCATACACTGCACTTTGCAGGATTCCCACAGAGCATTACCTCATCACGCAGGGGTCTTTCGTTTTTCACAGAACTAAGAATTTATGGGGGCTAGCTGCCAGATAGTGGGGGGTTTTAAAGATATTGATTTAGCCCATTGACTGACAGAAGATGATCAGGAATATGTGAGGTGGATGCTTATAATGGGACCAGTGAATCAGTATTTGCACAGCGTGTAAAACCCCTTACTTCCAGTGCAAAAGAGAAAAAATATTATCTGACATGTCACATCTCATCAGATCTGCCCAAGGTGCATGTAAAATTGCTTTATCGAGTGCAACTTTGGATGGAATCATCCTCGACTGTTACGAAATAATCAAAGACATAAAACCTAAAATCACTCCATCGTAAATATTTTTTGTATCTGTCTGCATAAGACTGTGTATATAGTCTTAATTTTATAATGCATATGCCTTCCAGCTGTTTATCCTCAGCAAGGTCATAGGGGATTGTATATTTATACTAAAGCAATACTGTATTTTCTGAGGGAAGTATAGATTTAACCAGTGCAAATGGATAACTACTCAGATCTTGGATTTCACACCGGCAGTGTAGCACAGTATGTTTTTCCGAATGCAGAGTTTGACACCAGCGCATAAGACGGTTTTAAAATCTGAGCTCTACTGTCTTACGCTTCAGTGAGACATATCGCAAGGCTACAGCACAAAGAGAAAGACCAGTACTCCACACTGCCAGAATGCATTTATTAGGGTTAGTGCCACAGGAGATGTTCACAGGGGATAGAAGTACTGAGACCAAAAGCAGCTCAGTACTGGTATACAGGCTAACACACAGGCTTTGCGGGCTAACGGAGGAGCATGTGCCATCTTAAAACAGCCACTGTTAAAAGCTTATCTGAGATACACCAAATAAAAGCTAAATATACAAAGCACAGAACATACAGACTACCAGTGTGGTTTTCACATGGGTACATGGATCTTACATTTTCCGCTTAATAAAAAGTAAAATCTTTCAGAAGCCCCTACGACAAAGAAAAAAAAAGAAAAATCAATCCTGGGGTCTATCAGACCCCAATGTGCAAATTATCCAGTTTTCTTAAAAAATGTCATCTCACCGCTGTAAGAAGTTCATGAAGTGAAGCATTAATAACAGGATCACTATCTTAAAGTACAAACATAGCAGATAGGTTTTATATTTTAGAGCCTCGCACAGACTTAAGAACATGGAAATTTAGAATAAGCTTCGTAAATGGCCTTGATAAATGACGAGTAGAATCATTTTTGAAAACACTGATCTATGATACTGCACCTAGCACGTGCAAGGAGATCTCAGAGCCAAGCCTGAGGAGGTCACACCAGAGATGTCTGGGATTACATAGCTTGCCAGATCATACTGTACAGTGCACCCGACTTTGTGCACAGGCCGAGGCCTGATATTAGTAAATCTATCAACATAATGGTCAGGAAGCAGTTGGTGATCCACGTCCATTGCTACTGGTGCTCCTTCAGGAACTGCTTCATGTAGGCCGCAAGCGCGGACACATCCTCCAGGGTCACGGCGTTGTACAGTGATGCTCTGATGCCCCCGACGGACCTACAGATGAAGAGCAGCACGTAAAACCCATGGCAGGCACTATCCAGGGGGAAAAAGCTGCTGACTGCCTGCGTTATACAACACTGTGCATAACGTTAAGCAGTCAAAGAAAAGGTAAAAGGCCATTTATGTGGGAAGGGTGTATTTGCTCAGGAAAAAAGGAATTTAATATTGGAAGTTTAGAACATATGCAAATGAACAGAACCACAATAAACAAAAAAAAAAACAAGAATTTCTTCTGTTCCCCAAAAAATATATCTTGCTGAATAGCTAGATGAACACTAGTTCTGTCCCCAAACCCCTCCTCAGGGGCACCTCAGTCACTCCATGTATTTGTTAAGTTTCAGCACCAGCTCAATTAACTAATTGACTTATTTTGATCATTCAGTTTTTGAGCCCATTAGCAAGGTGATGTGGTTGGCGAGTCAAAAAATACAAGGGTGACATACTGGGAAGATTTGAGGTTTTGAAATGGCTAAACAGACATACATTTTCAGACACAAACTCATAGTTTTACACCAACATGAAGATCATTTAAACATAGTTTTCTATTACTGCTTAAGACTTTTGCACAGTACTGTATAAGGTCTCACCAAGTGCTCACCAGCACAAGCAAAATGATTCACTGTAAACTAGCAAATGACATTCGACCTTTTTGCAAGCGGGTCCATCTTACCATCTTCAGTCTCTATCCTTACATAAAGCTATCTGCTGGTCCCTATATCTAGCCGGCTTTTGCAATAGCAGTCAATGTCAAATTACCTAGCAACACACTGTGATGTACCACCCTGAAATAAAAATCTCTGGTGCAAGATCAAAGGTCAGTGCAATAATTGAGATAACAGACCAAAAAAAAAAATACACAGCAGGACGGTCCCTCTGTCAGCACTGTGTGCTCAGAGTAAAAGGGTTTAGAAGAAACATACAAATATCCTGAATGTCAGGTAAATTATTAGACAGAAGATCTCAGCGGTGTGTCAATCCACTCATCCATCCTCCAGGCAACTCATCCTGGTCAGGGTGAGCTGCAGTGTATCCCAGCAGGACAGGGTGCACTGCTGAGGGAGGATGTGGGTAGGACAGCACACACACCACGGGCAACGCACTGGCTCCAGTTAGGCTAACTGCGTGTCTCTGAACTGCAGGCGGTAAGCTGTGTGACACAGGGAGGACAGGGGCAGGATTCGAACCCGTAGCCCTGGAGGTGGGAGACACTGCCCACCAAGTCACCATGCGGTGCTTTATATTAAGTATGGTCAGGCTGAAGTAGGCTTGGGTGGAATCTGCTTTCTCATGCAGTCACCTTCCATACCGGGCAGTGTCTCCCACTGTCGTATACGGTACTTTGATGATGTTTCCGAAAGCAGTGCCACCATGGTGCGGGAAATTCACTCGGATGCTGCACAGATGCACAAGCATTTGCGGACTACACCTGACAACAATGGCTACTGGGTATCGGCGGATTTCCTTCAGCATATGTGCTTTTCTTCACCAGTTCGCTCACCATTTTGGCCACTTCTTAGTACAGTTCCACCAAAACTTACTGAGGTATGTATACCGTGGTATACCCTATTACCTTAATACCACCTGAGCCTGCTATAAAGTTATAGGAAACAAAACAGCACATACATGTCTTTCTGCCAAGGCCCCCCCGGCAAGTGTGATGCCTTGAGGCCAGTGCCCCTCCCCCCAGGTGTGATGCCACCAGTGACCCTCCCAGGGTGCCCCAGGTGTGACACCTTGCCATTAATGACCAACCCCACTCCCCCCAAGTGTGA